CAAATGAGATAGATGAATAGATAGATAGATATAAATGTATGACCTAGATAGATAGATAGATAGATAGATATCAAATGAGATAGATAGATAGATAGATAGATAGATAGATAGATAGATATCAAATGATAGATAGATAAATGAGATAGATATATATATAGATATATATATATATATATATATATATATATATATATATATGAATACACTTAACAGCTTCCCACCTGAAGTGGTCTTCATCCCCCCTGTGTTTGGGTGCGTGTGTGCCCGCGTGTGCGCACGCGTCTGCGCGCGTGTGCGAAGTATATGGTTTTGTTTCGTATCTGGTATACTGAAGTTCTATAATGGTCAGCATTAATTACAACTGAGTAATGAGTTCGTTCCTCACTGGGTGCTCAATATCTACGGCCTTGAGTCACACCTAAACTAAGCTTAGTAAATTAGATTCTTCATTGAGGGTTCTCTTCATCTTACCTTTTATTACATCAATCCATATTGTAAAATCACCATATTATTGACATCATCTTTCTGATTACATAATGCTTATCAAATTGCATTCGAAGCACTGTACATATATATATATATATATATATATATATATATATATATATGATTGAATAAATTGCAAAGATATTACAATTGATTTTATGCAAGAAATCAATGCCTTATTCAATTTTCATATACGGAAAAATATTCGTGATTAGAAAAGGATTATGCTCAAAATATGCAGGCATAAGTTTTGTAACTTATTCAATCAGACATGCCTAAAAACTAGTATGCTGCTTAAACACACAAATATATATAAACATACAAGTATGTATAAACATAAATATGTCTTAAAATAATTATCGGACTTTGTCCATTTCATAATGTGTGATGTCATCGAGCAGATATGAATGGACGTGAGAAAATCATGGAAAACTGTAGTTTAAAACAGTAAAATCGACCTTGCTAACTGAAACACTCCTCTGTAGCTAAATCGGTAAAAGCACGTCAGGCTATATGATGTTTCCGTATAGGATACAGGTTCGATTCCTGTCGGATACATATTTTGTATGAAAATTTCTCGGACATGCAGGCCGGTTAATGTTGTTAATAATGTTCATTATAAACAGAGCATTTACTTAAATATTTGTATGTATAGAAAAGAATGTATAAACATAAAAATATCTAAGAAAACACACACACACACACATATATATATATATATATATATATATATATATATATTAAAATTGTAGTTAGACAGGAGAGTCCAATATACATAAAATAGGGGATTACTTTTCAATATATTTTCACATATATATAAATAAAATGTCTATTTAAAAAGTATTTAATACACACTCATATATATATATATATATATATATATATATATATATATATATATATATATTATAAAATAAATATAAAATAAATTATAAAATAAATATTTTGAGTGATGATGTCAAATGTAAATGATGTTAAATGTAAAATTTTAAATTTTAACATTAAATCATCCTGTCAAGACACAAAGGTGTTAAAGTAAAATGGCTATTTTTGTAGTGATTTTATAACATTTATGTTATAATTTTTAAATAAATATATATATATATATATATATATATATATATATATATATATATATAAATAAATAATTATATGCATATATATATATTATTTATGTTATAATTTATAAATAAATAATTATATCTGCTCTACTCTGTATTGAGCACTCTTTTAAGAATAGTAATTTTTGGTTATTGGAATTTATTCCGTATACACCAATCATATACTTGTATATATATATATATATATATATACTTGGATTGTATGCATGCACATTTTATTTATATAAATATATAATGCTAACCATTACATATATTATATATGCAATGGTTAACAGGCTTGTCTCGCTCGATCAATTACAACAGATTAGTGAGTTCGATCCTCACTAGATGCCTCCACGCTTTCGGCCTTGTGCCATATCTAAGCTACGCTTAGAAAATTATTTTGGCACCTCTACGTGGTGTCATGGTTGAAAAAGTTGTCTTCCTAGATCAATTACGACTGAGTAGTGAGTTCGATCCTCACTGGGTGCCCCATAATCTTGGATTTGTGCCACATCTAAGTTACGCTTGGAAAATCGCTATAACAGTGAATGCTGGGGAACACCGAGGTGGTATAATGGTTAGCAAGCTTGTCTCGCTAGATCAATTACGACCGAGTAGTGAGTTCGATCCTCAATGAGTGCCCCATACTTTCGGCCTTGTGCCACATCTAAGCCGCGTTTAGTAAATCAGTATATAGGGTTGGTGGAAAGTATTCAGGCATTCAAAATTGTTAATAAAATCTATATTCCTATCACAAATTCATCGAAATATTTTATATCTGTTCTTTATTCCATGGGAAAATGAAAGTAATTCATAATATTTCATCATGGTAGAGTCTAATACTTTCCTCAAATGGCCAGGGATGGAATGAAGAACCTTCTGAAAGACGTCGTCTGGAATATCACAGAGAACCTCCTGAATTGATGTCTCTAAGTCATCCAGTGTCCGATGTTTTGACTTGTACAGATCCTCTTTTGTGTAACCCTGAGTTTTACCTTTACCCTCCCACTGAGCCAGGTTCTAACACAAGGTCGTTTTTTAACGTTTTTCCCCTTGGGCCACCGGTCTAAGTTGGTCTTAGGATATCTGCGCTGGTTAGAGCTTGTCTAATCTGGTCTTAGCTGGTCATAGCTTGTCTAAGCTGGTCAGGGCTTGTCTTGTATATATATATATATATATATATATATATATATATTGTCTTCATATATATTTATATTATATTTATGAATAAATTTGTTAATATTATTTATTATTCATTATCTATCTATTATTGAACATTATTATACAAAATTTATTCATTTGGCATCTATTTAATCAATAGTTATTGCTCTATGCAGCTGTTGAGCAAAGGTCGTTTTTTTAACGTTTTTCCCCTCAGGCGACCGGTCTAAGTTGGTCTTAGCTTATCTACGTTGGTTAGAGCTTGTCTAATCTGGTCTTAGCTGGTCATAGCTTGTCTAAGCTGGTCAGAGCTTGTCTATGCTAGTCGTACCACCGCTACGTAACAGATATTATGCAACAGCGGTGAGGAAGCTAGGGAGGCGAGAAGGCACGGACAGATACCACATCTGCAGCATCCACCCTGATGGAAAACCCCCACTTCTCCGACTTTGCCAATCCCCACGAAAGAATCCGGAAGCAAAGCCCCTCTTTTTTGTGTCAAGCTACAGGTAAAAATCACATGGAGTGAGATCTGGACTTCTTGGACGACATTCGTGAAGTCCGCGTCGTCCAATCCAACGTCATGGGGAACGTTGGTTTAAGCACGTACGCACAGTAAGAGTAAAAATATGTGGTGCAATATCCTGCATGTATATGAGGTCACTAATGTAATCCCAGACAGACACCCTGGGCCACACATAATTTTCGTGCATCTGAAGCTAGCGGTCCATATTAATACATTCGTTACTTTCCATCCACCCTCTGCATATTACGATATGGAAGGACCTGACTGAACGCAACCATTTTCGGAAGCACAACCCCCCACCCCCAGCGGCAGAATAAGCAAAGATCTCAATGATCTCAAAGGGCAAACTGGCAGAAGGGGGCTGGTGTAACCAAGGCGTACCTTGGCAGACCAAGCATACGGAGGCTCGATAAAACAACGACATTTGCCTGATATCTCAATCACCTTTGAGCCGCGAATGTGGCGCTACAGGCCAAGTGGGACGGCTTCTCCGTCGCACACACAGTTATCGACCAAATTCACGCGAATATTCTTGTCAAACTCTTTTTGATTCACCGCCATCTCCACCAGGGGAAAGAAAGCGAATAGGAAGAGAGGATAACCATCATGTTGCTCGGATGATGGGATTCTCCGATGCGATATATATATATATATATATATATATATATATATATATATATATATATATATTTTGTCTTTATATATTTATATTATATTTATGAATAAATTTGTTAATAGTATTTATTATTCATTATCTATTTATTATTGAACATTATTATACAAAATTTATTCATTTATCAACTATTTAAGAAATAGTTATTGCTCTATGCAGCTGTTGAGCAAATGAGTTACAAAATTCTGCTCACCTTGACATACGACAAATTGCATCATTTTACCTATATCAGTACCTCTAATACACACACACACACACACACACACATATATATATATTATATCAGGAGAAAGTTCATTTTAACTGATGGCAACATAGAAAACTCAACATTGTATGATATAAAACCTTTCAAAGAAACTATTATCCAGCGTCCACACTGTCACAATGAACAAAGAAATAAAAAACATGATTGTGATGAAACTGAGACTGAAATTGAAAAAGCTACTGAAAAGTTTATTAGTTTTATGGAAAGAAAGCCAGCATTCAGTTATGGCGATTGCAATAACGCAGGCAAAGTTTTTTTTAAAAAAAAGTGTTTTCGTTTAAAAACTTTCAAGAACAAAAGTAAAACGAAATGCGGAAAAAGTTGAGAATGACATTAGAAAAGACAGAATCATCATACAAGAGCGATTAAAAAACTCTTGTTACATTATTTGTTTTGCATACGTGGCATACTTAATTTAATGAATTTTAATTAACATTACATAATTGATTTCTTTTTCCTTAAAAACAATTCCGTTATATTTCACTCACCATTAGCTTATTTTGTTTACTATAAAACATTGAAAATAAACGTTAAACCTGATTTCAGTGCTTTTATTTTAATCTAAATATAACCCCTCATATCCGGACTATATAACCAATTCCTCATATCCGGAAGGCCTTTTCAGTCCGATTACCAGGGATTCTAAAGTGTATATATATATATATATATACAGAGAGAGAGAGAGAGAGAGAGAGAGAGAGAGAGAGAGAGAGAGAGAAATAGATAGATATGATAGGATAGGAAAAAGGAGAAAGAAGTTTATAACATGTTTCGCCTTTATTAAAGCTTCATCAGAATATGAAATATGGATGAAAAAGAAAGAAAGAAAACGTTTCCAAATCAACATGCCGATAGCCACCAAACATGTAAACGCAGGCACGCACACACACACACACACATACATACACACACACACACACACACACACACACACATATATATATATATATATATATATATATATATATATAAAACATTGGTAAATCTATAAATGACCTTTAGTCTAATCATGAAATGAAAAGACATTTACTTTAGACAATGTCCATTTTTCCCGGAATTTATTTTCTCCTATCTGAATGTAGCCCAGCTTTTTTGCCTCGATCACGTAGATCGATCCTGATTCGACCTGTCAGTTATTGATCATCTTTTGCATGCACATTAAAATATATATGTCATTACTTTTTACTGTAGTTTCATTTAACATTAACATTTGCCTATTATGCAGTGATATAAACCCTCTCTCTCACACGCATACACACACACACACACACACACACACACACATATATATATATATATATATATATATATATATATATATATATATATATCAGTGACGACGACTCTAGGTCATCAATGTTTGTCGGGCTCATTACAATCTTTTAACAAAATATGCCATTGGTATAACTTAGATGCTACAATGTTTCCTTTATCTAAAATATATTTATAAAATGTCTAGCTTCATACGTTTTTTTTTTATAAAATTACATGTGTATGTATCTCGAGTGTGTGTTTGCAGATGTATCTATGCGTTAGTGTATTTATGTATCTCTCTATCTGTCAAACTTAAGTTTAATTTATTGTACGTTTAGGATCAGTACAGCCGAGTGATATCATATTTCCTCCACACTACCCCAGTCATACTCCTCACTCCAACCCTCCAGTCGACGAGTTATGGCTGCCACTTTCTTTGATTTTCGTTGATTTAAATCGGGCTAAATTTAATTTACCCTTTTTCAATTTATACATTGTGCTAAACAAACTTATACTGTACAGAATAAATTATTTAAAATGGACATTTGAAAACAATAAGTTGAAATAAAGATATGTTCTTTTAAAAACAGAGTATGCCCGTGTTATAGATTTTTAAAAGATTATTTATAGAATTATGGCAAGAAATGCATTGTCTATTAAGTAAGACGCCATCTCAGAGAGGACTCAGCTATACGCAGCCCGACTAGCCACATTATTTTTACTTCATTTTTTTTGTACATATATTCTTTCTTTGTTTTTCTTTCTTTCTTTCTTTCTTTCTTTCTTTCTTCTTTATTATGCACACAATCAAGGTAATGTATTTCAGTCAATATTTTGTGGCACATTGGATAAAGGCGTTAGTTAGATTCAGTGACAGGACCCAAAGCGTGTGAGTTCAATACCCGGTTAAAGCAGTGGAGAACTCGGAGAGAGGAATTAACAGGAGATAACTGGCAACTGACATCCATTAAACATGACACGTGGAACTAAAACAGTCTACCCCAGTGAGCGAAATAAAGGGTTCAGTTCGACATTCCAACCCCCTGAAGAGGGCCGCAGCGTACAACGGCCGAAACGTTGTAATAAATATGGCGACAAAGATGAGGACAATAGTCCTAATCATGTAAATTGTCTACATAATACCACATCTCAAAAATATAGAGAGGTACTGAAAGGCTGAAACGTTGTAATGAATATGGCAACAAAGATGAGGAAAATTAGTCCGAATAATGTAAATAATGTACATAATGCCTCATCTCAGAAACAGAGACAGATACTGAAAGGCTGAAACCTTGTGATAAATATGGCGACAAAGATGAGGACAATAGTCCAAATAATGTAAATAGTGTACATAATACCTCATCTCAGAAATATAGACAGATACTGAAAGGCCGAAACGTTGTAATAAATATGGCGGGATCGAAATTGTGGATACACTATCCGACTGAACGAAATAAAAGAAATTGTCAAAACCAGAGAAGAATTAAATATTGTGGAATACTAATAAATTTCTAGAAAAAGGAAAAATGTTTTAAATCTATGTAAATCAGTTGGAACAATCTGGAAGATCTGTCAAAGGCAAATAATGTGTAATAAAAAGTAGTTTACTGCCAGGCAGTGTTAGGTCTAGGGTTAGACAATATTCACCATAAAATATTATTATCATAACAAAATATGGACAAGGTAAGTAACATTAGTAATGATGTTTTTGTTTTTGGTTCCTTTTAAACATCTTTTTATATTCTCTTTCACTCCTATTTGTACCTTGCGTCTTAGAGGCGTTATCTATATATATATATATATATATATATATATATATATATATATATATATATATATATATATATATTACTAAGTTCTCTGTTTCCCACCTCTTCTATCGATTTAAGATGTTATCATCATTTGCTGATAAAGTAGAATGCTTTGCCCTTAAATTCTACTCAAAATCTACTCTTTGCTCATCTGGAGTATCCTTGCCTAACCTTCAACTTAGAAGTGATCCTCAGAAAACATGTGGACCACTGCCCACTGCCTTTCATCAGCATAGCTGATGCTGTTTCCCAGGAAAGCTTAAATATTGGAATAAAGCTTTTGTAAACCCTTTCAACTATTGGCTTATTAGCGTTCTCCCTCATTTTGCGAAAATCCTAGAGGTCCTAATCAATGCTGCATTGGTTCATCACCTCTCATCGCAGGGTCTTTTCTCAGACAAGCAATACGGCTTCCATTTCTCCAGGTCAACAGGTGATGTATTAACGATAATTGCATAGTCAGTCATGCTCTAGATAAAAACGGTGAAACCCGGGCTGTAGCATTGGACTTCTCGAAGGTCTTTAACAGGGTCAGCACAGAGCAGCCTGTTTCAGGCTTTCATGTTTTTAACACAATCTTCAGGCTGTACATTCTATCCTTAATATTGAGCACTTTAACCAATAAATATTTTATACCTTTAAAAATATTTTTTTATTATAGGTGAATTAAAAGTCATGCAGCATAGGGATAATTTATTAAATGTATAATTGCACATGAAAATATCACTTACTAGTTATTTAATTGTTATGTGCTGTTCAAATGGCCTCCTTTCTTTTCAAAAATACATTTCAATTCTGTGCCTGCTTGATTCATTAACACCTCAGAGAGTTTCTCTGTCATTTTACTGCATTCATATTTAATTCTTTCTTTTCCTTAAGGTTTCAATGTTTCTGGCTGGTAAACAACTGATTTCAAATGGCCCCCCTACAGAAAAAAAATCCAAAACCTGATTAATCAATGAGCCTTTTGTGGTGAGTGATTTTTGCCTCACCCTGTATATTGCTGTGTTATCAAAAGTGCAAACTTAAAAACGAGAGAGAGAGAGAGAGAGAGAGAGAATTATTAATGCTTCAAACAAGGTTTTCATTTGATACAAAGATGACAAAAAACCTCAGAATAATATCCTGAATGGGTAAATATGCAATTATATATATATATATATATAAGAGATGATTATGACTGTATTACTAAAATACTCTTTTCTGCTGTTCTAGATGTTTTAAACAACATGTGGCACTGCCCTTTTGTAGCCACCCAACAAAAATAATGGCAGCTGATTTAGGAAAAAAAAAAGAAAAGATTTACCAGACCACAGAGTTCTGGATTAAAGATGGCAAGACCATATATTCAAGTCACTTGAAGATTACAATAACATGAAACTTAAAATAGCGAAGTGTTTTTTTGCTCTCGTCTAAACCATCTAGGTGTTGAGCACTTTAATTTATTGTGTAGGTATGTGTTTATTTTTTGATCTTTTTTTTTCTTGGTCAGGATTTTTTTTTCTTGTCTAATGTTTTAGGTCTTTTGGTAAGTTGTCTTGGTTCCACCAACATTATTGAATTTTTCTATGTATGGATAACGATATGTAAATTTTTATATTTCAGGAATAATTTTGGAAGAAATACGTACGATAAAGTGGAAAATCTTTTTCGTGTGGCGTGTTTCGTCCTTTAGGACTTCATCGGACTAAGTTTGTTGATGTGACTACACATGCACACAAGCAAGAGTTGCTGGGAATTTTAAATTTAGAAAAAATAATTTTTTTTAAATTTGTGTTTTGGGTATATTATCTAGCCAATAGCATCTACATTTTTTAACTTCATGTATTTGTTTCCAAAATTACACATGTGAAAAAGAAAAAAATATTCTAAATTTAAAATTCCCTCACTCAACAAGACTTTTTGGCCTATTCATTAGCCTGAATGTTGCACAAATTTTACCTGACCAAATATATATATATATATATATATATATATATATATATATATACAGGGTGTCCATAAAATTCGCGTGCACTTTAATAGTATTTGCGATAGAAATAATTTGTAAAAAGGATTAGAAAGAAGCAAATCTATATTTTTTAAAGGTTTTATTGAAATTTTCATTTAAGTTCCACATGTCCTCCATCATTAGCAATACAAAACTTCCATCTACGGATTTTACAGTTCTCTATTTAAACATTTTTTCCTATTGATTTAAAACTAATGCCTATTTCACTTTAGATATTTTAACTATACTTAAAACGAGGTAACTATTAAACTTTATAACATTTTTTTTTGATTATTTCTCAAAGTCTACAAATAAATACAAATAAAGTTAAAATTTTTAAAGTGCAAAAATGGACACCCTATATATATATATATATATATATATATATATATATATATATATATATATATATATATATATATATATATATAGGTGATAAATATACAAATGCGGTTGTATGGATATTAGTTTCTTTAACTGCGGGTTTTTTTTTTTACTATTCGCGATCTTCAGATAAACTGGTTTATTTTTTCAAAAAGTGATTAATGTTTTTAAGATTATAAATTGGGTAAGTTCGAACGAACTAAAATATATTTTCTCTGTTAGTACGTGTTCCTAAAATAAGTGAGAGTAATCCCAAACTAACACAGAGATAAAGCTTCCCCTCCACCACACAAATAATCAAAAAAAAAAAAAAGCATAAATAGATCCATTTTCTTTTTATATATATA